CCTGATTGACATAGCGACGAATTTTGGCTAGCATCCCATTTAATTTACGCAATTCGGCCGCTAATTTTTTAAGATGAGAAGAAAATGATAGATTTGAGTCAATTAAGATTCAAATATACTTTTATAAAACTTCTGAAAAGATTTTTTGACTGCATAGTCTAAATTTTAGGTTTTTTTACACTTTAGATTGACTTGATTTGGAAATAATGAGTTTAGTTTTGTTGGTTTTAAAACTCAGTTTGTTTGATCGCAGCCATTAAAGTATATTGGATAAATCAAATTAAGTATGCTTGTTAATTTTTTTTCATGATTTGTTGGTATCATTTTTTCATAAGTAAGTTGGTATGGTCGCCAAAATGGTAAGCTGTTAAAAGTTTTAGAAAGATATTAAAATCACTTATAAAAATAAAGGAAAATAATGGTGCTACTATAGAACCTTAGGGTACACATGTAAAGCATTTTATTGGGAAAGATTTAGTATTATTGATGGAGACAAATTGCGATTTATTAAGAAGATATGATAAAAACCATTGGAAAGCATTAACTCGCAAACCGTTGTGTTCCAATTTACTTTGGAGTATGGACTGATCAATAGAATTAAAGGTTCTCTCTAAGTCAAGAAAAATTTCACATGCAAAAAGTTTATTGCCAAGAGCTTTTCTAACAGTTTCAGTTATTTTATTACATGCGCGAGTTGTGGAATGTTTGTTACAAAATCCATACTGATGTTTAAAGAGACATAACTCCGCTCTAAATTCTGTTGTGCATAGCTATTTCAAATGTTTTGCTAATTTTAGATTAAAAAAAGAAATTGATCATTATTTTGTGTGGTCCATTAGAGAACCAGTTTAATGGATATCAATTACTTTGGCTATCTTAAAAACATCTGGAAGAAGTCATCTGTGTATTTGGTCTATATATGGCTAATTGTCATATATAGGCCACATACATAGGCCTGCGAAGACAAGTTTAGCTCACTAAAGAGCATTATAACCCGGTTTGCAGACTGAAAGTCAGTGAGTTTAAGAAAAACGAGTTAAATAAACGAGTAAAAGTCAAAAGAAGTCGAATTAGAGAGATACCATAAAGAAGCGGACAGATATTGCACTAGATGGAAGAATGTGCAATGGAATACGCAATAAAACTAGCCTTAACTAAATATGTTTTTCAATATGGTACAGAAAGGCTTACAATAACATTAGAAATAAGTTTAAGAAGGTGTGTGGGAATTCTACTTCGACCTAAACTTATACCGTTTTGTAATGTATTTTTTTATTAAATCAGAAATCTCATTTTCGGTCACTGAATTAAAAAAAAAATCAAATTTTTTAAATAGCCAGAGAAAATACGTTTAGAAGAAATCTTTTTACATTTGGGTGGGCATTGTATTTTTTATAGCAGTTGTTGAAAATGTGAGCAACGGTAATACTGTCTGAGATAGTGTTATAATTAGGTTTGAAAATGCAAGATTTATTTGGTGCGGATGGTTTGATATTTTTTTTTTATATATATTATGTTATCTATTTTTTGTATTGCTTTCCGTGTATTTTTTGCATTGTTGAGGTTTTTTTAGAAAAAGGAAATGTTGTATGAAATTTTGGAAATTCCTAATAGGGTAGATTAAGGTAATATGAGCACCTTAAGCAAAAATTGGAATTTTTTCAAAAATAAATATGCTGGATCCAAAATTTTTGCAATAAAACAGTTTTTAGGTATCCCTATTCATAATCTATTTAGATATTTGGGCACTTGACATTTTTTCTTAAAAACACAAAGGTTTTAAAAAAGTAGCAAAAATACTCGTATTACCTTGACCCCTTGATAATATGAGCACTTTAAACTAGCTCAAAAAAAAAGCATTAATTAAGTAAAAAAAGACCAACCTGCTCAATAGAACTAATTGTTGGAGTATAAGGATTCGTGATTAACAAAACATATCATTAAAAGATCAAATTTTAAACTACATTTTGTTGAAACAATACTACTATGTTTTCCGCCAAAAAATAATAAAAAAACTAATACATTGTTTTTTCAATTTTGTTAACTCAAACCTTCGAACAATAAAAATTAAAATTTTTCAGATTTAAGTTACAGAAAAATATTTAGTATTGTTAATATATTAAAATTTTTTACTATGTTTTGTTTTTATTCAAGAAGCAATTAAAAACCACTGCTATTTTTGGACTTTAAACTAAGCACTGGGTTATTTGAGCATGCTCATATTACACAAAAATGGTATCTTTAAATAAAGTCAAAAATAAATGTTTCTAAGCATTATTTTTCAAACAAAAATGAATTGGATTTTTAGCTAATATATTTTTCTTTACAAAAAAAAATAATTTCATTATTTTAGAGCCAAAATATCGCGCCACAGAATTATTCACGCGTGATGATTTTTTTTAACAAAGCAAAAAGTTTAAAGCGTTTTAATTAGATGATATCCGCTAATTACTGCGTAAAAATTTTCGCTAACTGTACTGATTTCTGTTATCACCACATAAAGTCGATTCGAAAAACATAAAGCAACTTTAACTTCACTGCTTACATCTAATAAATCTTTAAGTATGCTCATATTACCAAGGTGCTCATATTACCCTAATCTACCCTAAGTTGCAAATTTTATTCTTGCACAGTTTAAATTTATTGAACAGACTTTTTGTGTTATATATAGGTTATATTATCTATATAGTTTAGTAATTTGTAATAGACTTTGAATAGGGTGTTCAAAATTTTAACACGAAAATTTATTTATTTAAATATAATAACATTTATTATATATTATGTATAGTATTTAATTTGAAAAAAAAGGCCAAAATAAGTCCCTACGTTTTCGTATGAAGATAAATAGACTAATGGCTTTATATTGACGTCACTCATTTACATTTAAATTAGCGCTCACACTGAAAATGTCAACATTGCAAAATAAACAGTAAACATTTGCTAATGTCACGAGAGTCTTATTTCTTGTTTTTACAACTAAGCACAGTGGTTAGTAAAGTTATTTTATGTCAAGTAATGTGTTGAAAAAAAACTACCATCGAATTCTAAATGGAATTGTTAGCTGGATTTAAAAACGATATATGTTCCAAGTGATTTAGGTACTATTTTATTTTTGCTTTGTTTTAATCTTTGTAGGCACGTGTGTAAAATCTTTAAACTATTTTTATTATTGATTATTATATATCATTGAAAAGAGGCTAAAGTCAGCATAACAAAAGTAAAAATTTCATAAAAAAATAACAATTTTACAAGAAGTTATGCTCATTTAAGTAACAAAATTTGATTAAAAAAAACTGCAACTTCGGCTAACGGTAGTTTTGTTATGAAACTTAGTTGCTAGAAGCGCAATATTTTGCTTTATTTACAATACTTTAACTTAGGTACATATTCTGCTACAAAAAATTAGGTGTCTGCTACATAACCTTTTTCGATAAAATTTGGTATGCACGTAGAAAATAAGTTTTTAAATTTTTCTTAATAGTTTTAAAAATGTTCTCAACATTCCTTCAATATTAATTTGACGTGTGATCAACAACGAAGTTTTGAAGAAAAGTAAATTCAATAAAGGCGGTTGTAACTTCAAAAAAAAACTATCTAAAAATGAAGTTTAACTCTTCCACTTTTCAAAAAAAGTCTATGCTGATATAAAATCCTAAAAAATAACACAAAAAAATACATTCTTACAACTCAAACGCTAAGCACGCTTTGATAAAATGGTCGAAGATTTTGATTACATAATCGGTGCCGTAACTCATTGGATACGCACGTACCTAATCTTTGTTAGTGTGTTTGTTAATTTTTAAATTTAATAAAATAAATGAGACAGTTTAGCGTAAATCACCTTTCCAAAAAAAAGAAAAAAAAAAGAGAAAAATATATAGCGCAAATGGGCTTGATCATTAAGCCCATGTATTCATACAGTAATTAAACAGTATGTATTCATACTGTAATTAAACAGTATGTATTCATACTGTTTTTATTAACGAATTACTTTGGCTATCTTAAAAACATCTCCAAAAAGTCATCAGTATATGTGGCCTATATATGGCTAATTACCATATATAGGCCACATACACAGGCCTGCGAAGACAAGTTTAGCTCACTAAAGACCATCATAACCTGGTTTGCAGATTGAAAGTCAGTGAGTTTAAGAAGAACGAGTTAAAAAAACAAGTGAAAGTCAAAAGAAGTCGAATTAGAAAGATACCATTAAAAAAGTGGTCAAATAATGCACTAGATGGTAGAATGTGCAATGGAATACACAATAAAACTAGCCTTAACTAAATATATTTTTCAATATGGTACACAAAGACTTGCAAATAACATGAGAAATAAGTTTAAGAAGGTGTGTGGGGATTCTATTTCGACCTAAACTTATGCCGTTTTGTAATCTATTTTTTTATTAAATCAGAAATATCTTTTTCGGTCACTGAATTAAAAAAAAAATCAAATTTTTTAAATAGCCAGAGAAAATACGTTTAGAAGAAATCTTTTTACCTTTGGGTGGGCATTTTATTTTTCATAGCAGTTGTTAAAAATGTGAGCAACGGTACTACTATCTGAGATAGTGTTACAAATAGGTTTGAAAATGCAAGATTTATTTGGTGCGGATGGTTTTATGTTTTTTTTTTTTTTTCTGTTTTTTTTTTTTATTTTATGTTAACTATTCTTGTATTGCTTTCCGTGTATTTTTTGCATTGTTAAGGTTTTCAAAAAGGAAATGTAGTATGAAATTTTGGAAATTCCTAATAACTTGCAAATTTTATTGTTGCACAATTTAAATTTATTGAACAGACTTTTTGTGTTATATATAGGTTATATTATCTATATAGTTTAGTAATTAGTATAAGATTATGAATAGGATGTCCAAAATTTTAACAGGAAAATTTATTTATTTAAATGTAATAACATTTATTATATATTATGTATTACATAAAAAAATAATATTATATAAATATTTTATTAAACTATTTCAAATTTATTTCATAATCATCAAAAAACCAACGTGGTTTTTGGGGTGCATATGATGTGGTTTTTGTAGTACATTTGAAGTGTTCTATAAAATATAAGTTAACAGTGATGCAATCATCCTAAGAGCAATTTATTATAACAATCTTCTTCAAAAAATTAAAATTTAAAAAAGTTAAAATTCTTAACAGTAAAGAAATTATTGTTAAATTAGTTAATGTGGTTTTTGGGGTGCATGGCGAAAAAAAGAGTCAGCTTTAACATTCGAGCAAAAGAAAACAAGCGAGACATATTAAACCATACCTATCAAAACGTTTACAACAGTAATAGCTTAAAAAATTTTGTTTTTCTCAAAAAAAAAGTTTTAGGCTCTGCTACTTTTATGTGGTTTTTTCGGTGCAAGCACCTGTAGTATTTAATTTGAAATAAAAGACCAATTTAAGTCTGTACGTTCTCGTACAAAGATAAATAGACTAAAGGCTTTTAATAGACGTTACTCGTTTACATTTAAATTAGCGCTCGCACTGAAAATGTCAACATTGCAAAATAAACAGTAAACATTTGCTAATGTCACGAGAGTCTCTTACAACTAAGCACAGTGGTTAGTAAAGTGTCAAGTAATGTGTTGAAAATAACTACCATCGAATTCTAAATGGAATTGTTATCCGGATTTTAAAACGTTATATGTTCCAAGTGATTTAGGTACTATTTTATTTTTGTTTTGTTTTAATCTTTATCATTGTGTTTGTATTTTTTTTAATTTAATAAAATTATTGGGACAGTTTAGCGTAAATCACTTTTCCAAAAAAAAAAAAAAGAGAAAAAAAAGAGAAAAAAAAGAGAAAGATATTTAGCGCAGATGGGCTTGATCATCAAGCCCATGTATTCATACAGTAATTAAACAGTATGTATTCATACTGTCATTAAAAAGTATATATTTTTACTGTACTCATACTCTATTCGTGTATTTGATTTTAAAGAAAAGTTACATCTTTTATTATAAAAAAAAATACACGGTAAACAAGTTTGGCCTTATCACCAAATTCATTATGGCATAATGAATGTAATGTAAAAAAAAACGAATATGAATGTATTTTCATCCTATTTGTTATTTTGTTTATACTCAGTAAATGTAATCATATTGAGTATGAATACATTCATATCATTTTATATAATATTGTATATCTCACTTTTTCTTTTTTTTAACTATTCTTTTTATTAAATGAAATATTACATTCAACACAGCTAAAAAATAACAAGCATTTATTTATCTTCATATCATATTACAAAGTAATTAAAAAAAAATTAAATAAATTAAATTGATAATAAAAAATAGCAAATATAAATTTGTTAAAAGAACTTACAAGTTTAGAATTAGCACATTTAAATCATAAAAATTTTAATTTGAAAATAAAAGTTGAAATAAAATTTATTTTTAGAGAATACTTTTACTATTTAATTTTCTGATTTTTTAGTTTTTATAAAATTTGTAGTTTATTATTTTAGTGATTTTAAATATACTTTTATGTCTATCAAATTTTAAAAAATTTAGTTTCAGATCAAGTGACTCTTGTTATTATACTATAAAGTAAATTATTTCATTTAGAATTTTTGCAAAAAGAAGATTTGTCTTTTATCAAACTTCAATGCAATCAAGTTCACCTTATTTTTAAATATGTTTATGCACTTTTTTTTGAATAAGGTTTTAAAAAAGAAAGAACATAATGGAATTTGAAATAGGAGTAAAAAAAACAGAGAACAAGAAAAAAAAAAGTAAACTTAAAGATGATATTCATGATAAGCTGTTGCTACCTGTTGTATTCAGGCTAGCTAATTAATAAGTTATGGTTTTATATGAAGACTGGATTTTTATTGATGCAACCTTATATTTAGATTGTATCATAGTATCATTAGTAAATAAAACTAATTTAGAGCAGTTGGAGAATAAAGACTTATAAGTTTTAAAACTTAAATTTGACACAAAAAATCTAAAAATGTAAGAAAAAGATTATGGTCAAGTTTGCTAGGCTCTGTTACAAGTTTTTTTTTTATATCAAGAAAGCAATTAAATCTCACTTCACCTATTCCATCTAATGCAGATTAGAGCATTTCTGTTATTTTTAGTTATCATCAGTAGAATGACAGTATTGAAATATTTATAACATTAGAAATTTGTTAAATCTTAACAAATTTGTTAAATTTACAACCATGATTAGAGTAGAGGATCTAGATTACAACCATGGGTAGAGCAAGAGGTCTAACTAAAATGCAAGTAAGGTTGTTAAAGCTAATGGCTTTTCTCATAGTGAACTTATGATTATTTAAATTTAAGCTTCCTTTATTTTATATTTTATGTTAATATAACTAAATTAAGGAAGAACTGCTGTAAGTTATTTTATTTTGATTGTTTATAGCTCAATAAAAGGAGATTTTGAATTTTACAGTAATCGCTTAAAATAAAATGACTTATGGTGTAGACATAAATTTGAGTATGAAAGTACTTTATAAAAAAAGTTAATTTTGTAAAAATGATCATTTTTTTTTGTATATTTTATTTTCAACTTAGGTTTTATGATTCTGGAATCCCTAATCAGCATTTAATGCTAATAAATAAAATCTCAGTAAATAGTTAACCATAAAAACAAAGTTTTTAATATATGACTATATATAATACTTATTTAACAGATCATTATGTACATCGAATAATTGAACAACATATTCTAAAAGTACCTAAAATAGCAATTTTAAAAGCCATTAAAAATAGAACTGCTTTTTACCTTACTATGGGCCTTTTTATCTTTTTATAAAGATATTTTCTTGATATTAACTTATTTCTTATCTTTTTACAAGTTAATTGTATGATTTGTTAAAGGTTTCTACAAAAAAATGGAAAATGGTCTATTTAGCAGCTTAGTTAAAACTGAAGGTATATGTTTTTTTAGTTTTTTATTTTTATATTTATTTAATTATTTTAATGATTTTAATTTAAAACTTTAAGTTATATATCGACAAATGATATAATAGCGAAACCCTAATAATCAGTAAATAGCAAAAACTAATAACAAAACTAATAACAAAAACAAAAACTAATAACAAAAACACAAATCACAAGGCTAGTTGCTTTAATTCATACTCTTTAAGCTCTGCAGTTCTAACAACACATTTCTTTCTAAATATTAAAGTGTTGTTTTGCAGAGTATGACTTTAGGTAATTATTATAATTATTATAAGTAACATTTGGTGTAATAAAAAATTGCTTTAGGCACTTTTTTAAGCGGAGTTTTACAAGGTTCTGTACTTGGTCCAACATTATTCATCATCTACATTAATGACTTAACGGATAAATTAAAATCAGTTCATAAAATTTATGTTGATGACACTAAACTGTTGCAAGAAATAAGACCTGAGTTTCATGATGCTGATTGTCTGATTCTTAAAAATGATTTAAACATTGTCACAAAGCAACAAAAATTCCTCAAGTTTACCTTATGCTGAAAGGTGTCGGCCTCTCAATTTTACTTATTTGGAAACACGCAGACAATGCTGCGACTTTATCCAACATTTTAATCTTGAAAACAGTTTTGAAGTTACTAATTGGCATAGTCCACCTCTTCGCAGATCACCATCCAACGAATTAACGCGTGTTTTCACAGGCAATAATGCTTGACCTTTTTTCTTCACAATAATGCTCGACAATTTCTTCACAAATCGTATTTTGAATTATTGGAATTATTTACCGTTGTTATGCAAAAAGGCTCCGTCAATTAACGCATTCAAAAGTAGAATTAAAAAGCATTTTTTTCCACAACTGCATATAGTGCATCTTTTACTGAAGATGAGTTGCATGTTTAATTTAATTAATTTGTGCTTTAGCAGCTACAAATATTGACTTTTTAGGTACATTTGTCATAAATGTAAACTGTAATTAAATAAAAGCAAAAAAAAAAAAATAAAAAAATAAAAAAAAAAATCTAAAAAAAAAAAAAATTAAAAAAAAAAAATAAAAAAAAAAAATAATAAAAAAAAAATAATAAAAAATAAATAAAAAATAAATTAAAAAAAAAAAAAATGCTTTTGTTTTTTAATCTGTTTATTTGATTGTTTTTTTTTATTTGTCATGTAATCTATAAAGACTTATTTAAATATATTACTATTACGTTTACAAATAAAATATAAATAAAATTTAACAAAATTATATTTAAAAATGTCAATCAAATACTTAGATGCACTAAGTTCAAGTATGTTGAACTTTGATACAGTTATGAGAACACACTTTTTTCTTGACCAAGCTATGATGACTGTACATATAGTTACCTAACCAACTGTTGTACAGATAACACCTAGCATTGATATCTTTTAAAAGTTTCATCTATTTCAACAATGACATTAGTTTAGTTATTAAATAATGATCTTAAAGTTTTAATCTTTAATTTTTGTTTCAGATAATTATACTGTAAATGTAAAACATCATTAAGATTACATAACATCATTAAGTAAAATTATTGATTAAAATTTTTGCTGAAGTATTAAAAATAATAATATAAATATTATTAATATAAAATAGTATTATTAATATAAAAGCTTCATTTAATATTTATGAAAGGTTTTTTAATACTATCAATATTAATTGTACTTTAAGAAAATTTGTTAATAGGAGAAAAACGGGGTGAAAAAACCTTCCTGTATTTGAATACTGTTGTAATATCAAGGCTGGTTCTCCTAATTATGATTTTTCTCTTCTTAAACAAGGTCCAAAAAGACATTATTAACTTAGTTCGACCTGTTCTATTTACTAAGATTGAGCCACTCTTCCATTGTCATAAACTTGCATCTCTTTTACTTTTTTACAAATATTAGCATTCAGCCCTACCAACAAACACTCATTTCAACTTCACTCGTAATTTATCAAGTTTTCTTTTTTTTTTTCTCTGTCCATTCCTGATCAAAAATCTTTTATATATCTAATTTCTTTCCTTGCACTTCAATGCTTTCCACTCTCTCCAATCTTTATGTTTTTTATACTCATGTAACTTTTTTTTCTCTATACCTGTTTCCTTGCTCTTTAACACTGTTCTTAGTTTATAGTAAGTCTCAACTTTATAGTTAATAGTTCTTTCTTTGTTAAAAGTGAATTAGTTAAAAAATTAAAAATAAAAATACAAGCAAACAGATTGTTTTTTAAAAAAAAACTCTTTAGGTTAAATTGAAAACTCACAATTATCAAGTAGAAACTCAAATTGAAATTACAAAATCAAACTGACACCAGAAAAGAACTTATTGTATATTATAGTTTTATATATTTTATATGCATATTAAAGGGTAAACAGATTCTATTTGCTTACCAGCTTCGCTTCCCTTCTTCATCTATTAAACTGGTGTAGATATGTTTATAATACAACTTTTTCTATTATCTCCTAATAAAAAATCTCTTAAACAAAGTTTTTTTGTTCTGAGGCTAGCTGGTACTCAGGTTTCCTAAACTCTGTGGTAGCTCTCAGTGAGGCTGATTCCATTACCAGCTGTAAAATATTAGAGAATTAATGTTTCCAATGTTGCATATAGATGGTGTCTCTTTTCGTAATTTTGAAGTGCATTGTTGAGGCCACATTTGGACCCCTTTACGTTAAGATTTATTAATAGTAATTTAAAGATTGCTGTTACGACAGGATTTATTAATAGTAATTTAAAAATTGCTTGGATTATTTTCTTTTAATTTTTTAAGCTCCAATTGTCACATGCTAGGCTTGGGCATTTACATTGGTAAGAGTTCATCCATTTGTCAGGAAACGAGGTTTGAATCAACAGACTATTCTTTTATGTGTTTTTGTTAAGCACCACCACTCTATTACCTTTCACTTTGTTCTTTATTACTCTCCTTTATCTCAAGACTACACTTTTTTTGATGTTATTTTTGATTAAATTTACCTAACCCTTTCTTTTTATCTTACAGCCAATATCGTTGTTGTTGGTAACTAATGTTCATCAGGCATTAAAGCCCACAAGTTTTGCATTTCTTAATCTCCAACATAATTAGTAAAAAAATGTAAAAAATATAACTATTTTTATAAGCTAAAAATCAAACTAAAGATTTAATTTTTCTTTATTATTTTCTGCATAATAATTATTTGAAGATGTTTAAATTTGAATTTAGTTTCTCAGCAATACCTATCAAAAAAAAAAAAAAAAATTTTTACTTAAACAGGTATTTCTTTCCTACTAAAACTCAAAAAAGTGTCTCTATTTTTAGCATAATTTATTTAATTTTGCATGATTAATTTATGCATAGTTTTGTATAATATACTAGTGGACTTTGACCATCTTCTGCTGCTTTTAAAAAACCTTCCTAACCAATGTTTGATATTTTTTTATTTGTTTAACCAATTTTATATGCATATTATTGGGTAAACAGATTATATCTGCTGACCAGCTTTGCTCCCCTTCTTCATCTATTAGAATAACTTCGATGTGTTTATAATACATTATTTTCCAATTGATGTTTAATGATCTTCTTGACGTTTTTAGTATTTTTATTTAATAGTTTTATTTATTAAGTTCATTTGTTATACTAATTTTTTTAAGTATATATACTGATTTAAAGATTTGATAACTTATCTCTGTAGCTGATATGATTATAAATTTGGATTATAAATTTGGAATCAAAGACTGACTTTAGTGGTTATAAATACAGTTATTAACACCAATTTTTCTTTTGTTTTTTGTTTTTATTAATTTGTTTGCCTTTTTTTTTTACATATTTAAAGTTTAAATTTCTTATGTTTAGTGTCTAGAAATGAATTGACTTCTGATGAATTTATTTCAAAATGTTGTGGTGAAATAAGCTATAATATTGGAAGTGATTGGTTGCGATGGGGAAGACACCTCGGTCTAAGTGATTCAGATCTTGATAACATTGACTCTGATAATACAAAATGTTATGAAAAAGCTGATAATATTATTAAAAAATGGAAACAAAAAATTGGAAATCCTTCATGGGAGCAATTAAAAAAAGAATTAATGGCTTTTAATCGATTAGATATTGTGATTAAAATTGAAACAAAATTTGGAGGTAACAATACTAAATAAGAATCATATTTTTTCATTTTATTTTCTTTTTTCTGATATGTGTTTTCTATTTACTGATATGATAAAACTATGTATCATTGGCATGCGCTTTACTTTACTATTTTAAAACTATAGAAATTAGGGTTGGCATTCGGCAATGTCAACCTCAAACACTTTTAGTTTGGCATTCAACCCCTGACCCTGATTTTATCTCTAACCCTTACATCTAGCAACTCTAGTCTTGGCGTGCGACTCTATTTAATTTATTGCACATAAGAACATTACACAGCAAGCATCAATGAGCACTTTTTTGTGACTAGATTCATTATGTCTGCTCCACTAAAAAGTTTGTCATTTATGGATTACTTAAGCACAAAAGAAAATCATTAATAATTAAAAGTCAGCATTTTGTCAGTTTTTTACCAATAGTTAGTAAAATATTTTTTGTATATCTAACGTATTTATAATAATTCTAATGTGACAATTCGTCACTTCAGAGTTATAGGGTTCTATCTGCCTTTTTTTATGTTGTGAGAACTTAACTTTCAATATTTATTTACAACTAGTTTTACAGCTGTTATTCATTATAATTATAAATTATAAGTTGTTTATGTTAAAAATGTTAAAAAATGATATATATCATTTTTAAGTGGTTTGTTTTTATTATTAATTATTAATTAAAACTTTGATTGTTAAATTCTTTCAACATAAAACAAGATAGAACCCTATAATTCTCATGTGACGAATTGTTAACCAAGTTATGTAAATTGCAGGAAATAATTTCAGATGAGTCATATTTAAGTTACAAGAGCAGACTGGCAAACTAAGTTGGGTTAAGCATAAACACCTAGATATTGGTCTTGGGGTGAGTGAATGACAAACAGTGAAAACCTCTTTTAAAACAGACTTAGCTAGGATTGTTAGATGTCAGGCTTTTACGAAGGTAACAATGGCATTAGTTTAGTTATTAAATAATGATCATAAAGTTTTAATCTTTAATTTTTGTTTCAGATAATTATACTGTAAATGTAAAACATCATTAAGATTACATAACATCATTAAGTAAAATTATTGATTAAAATTTTTGCTGAAGTATTAAAAATAATAATATAAATATTATTAATATAAAATAGTATTATTAATATAAAAGCTTCATTTAATATTTATGAAAGGTTTTTTAATACTATCAATATTATTTCTTTGTTTTAAAATCTAATTTTGCTGCTTAATCTTATTTTTCTGTAAGCTCTTAGCATTTTTACAGACACTTTCAATGTTTCAATTTAAGTTTTAATAAACAAGGTCATGGATAAAATTGAATAATTTTGATAAATTATTAGGTTTTTTTATAGTTTCACAACACTATTTTCTTTTTGCTCAGTTTTTTGGGTGCAGTTTCATTTGTTTTTATTTCACTCTGGTGGTGTTTTGCTCTGTTTTAGCTCCACATGATTTTAACTGTCTAAGTTTTTCAGTTTCATACTAGGTTTGTTACAAGACATGAAAGATAGACCAAATTTTTTATAAATTTTCAGGAGGTCAAAAATTATATGAAAAGACATTTGTAATTAAACCTAGCGGGAATGAGTTGAACCCTTTTAGAATTTTTTGTTATTATTTTCTATAGATACATTTTTAGTGTTATTTTTTTACTCCATATTTTTATTTCAAGTTTTAGTTATAAATAAAAACTTTATATTATTTAGAGATTTCAAGTTCACCAAACAAAGATTTCACTGTTTTTTCCAATAAAGGTAATTTTTTAAATTGGTTTACGCTTTGTTTGCTTCAAAAGTAAGAAAATTATTTTATGTTAAATAATTTATTAAGTCAAGTCCTATATTAAGTTGTAACTTTTTCATTTGATTTTCAATTTTTTTTATTAAACATGCATTTTTATGTTTACTTACTTTGCTTATTTTATTATTGTTGCTAATCATCAATTTTGTTCATTGTGTTACTTGCTTATGTAAATTCATATCTCATTGCTTGTTTCACTACAATACTTTTTATACAATGTTCACATAATAATTTACGGTAATAATGTAAAAGTCAATAAAATAAAAGGGGTTTACAAATAAAAATAAAATTGTAATTAATTGTTTTATTCTTATTTAAAGCTATAATTAATACCCTATTTATAATTATTTATAACTATAATTAATATTATGATAGTATCATTAACTTGTTTGAAAAACAAAACAAGAAGAGAGCTTATTGTCAAGATGCAGTATTTTTGTTGCTCAAGTTTAGTTTCATGATGCTTTTATAATATTTTAAAGTTACGTTATGTATTGTAATGAAAACAAGACTCTTTGCATAATGTGCAAAATGTCAGTTTTTTTTAGGTAACCGAAGCATAACATTTTACATAACGATATTTAATACTGTGCACCTAAAACATACTAAACACTAGTTTATACTTAAAACTATATAAAAGAGCCTGGGTCTTATTGTAGTTTTATAGATGATAACAAGATAGATGATAAAAAGCTTGTTGTCAAGGTGCAGTGTTCTTGTTGCATAAGTTTAGTGTCATGATGCTATTGTTTTGAGATTAATTTCGAATAATGTGTTTACTTTTACTGTATTTTTTCAAAGATTTTTTTGTAGTTGCAAGTTTGACTTTAAAAGTGTTAACACAATAAAATAAAATAAAAAGATGTTAATTGGATTCACTAAGTATTTTAATTGAGCTCACTAAGTATGTTATAATTCCTAGATGTAGCAGTGTCACAATTTAAATAGTAATGATAAATAATTCTTTGTTTTGTTAACAAAACTACTGAAAAATCTGGCCAGTTTTTTGCAACTAATTATTATTTCTGTGGTCAGTATTCCCACTTCCTGGCCAAGCCTGCTCTAAAAGTGTTAACTACTCTTAATAATTAGTTGGTAAGTACGCTACTAATATTTAATATTTTAATTGCTTACCACAGCAAATCCCATCTGTTATGAATGTTTTTTTATTGTTTAATATTTATGACTTATCTAGATATGGACTATCTAGATGGACTATATATTTTGTAGGTGGTTTTAGGTGAATCAATTACCAAAGAGACACTTTTTTGTATTATCAGCCTGAAATAAATTATAAATAACAATCCTTTGTAAAGTAGGCATTGCTCTAAAAGTGTTCACTGCCCTTAATAATTGGTTGGTTAGTTCGCTTGCAATTGAACTAGAACTAGTATTAAAAAAACTTATTAAAAGTTATTCTAACTCACTTGAGGCTTTTTTCAGTAAACAATACCTTTTGACATATTTGTCTTTACTTTATTGTAACTGCAATAGTAGTTTAGTGGCACTTTAGAAATCAGATTCAATGATTACATCATTTTTCAAGATAATTCTATTAAGGCACTATGCATATTTTGGAAAATAACTATGTAATGTTTTAAAATACATTATTTTGTTCATAGAAGTTTTTCAAGCATAAATATTTTGATAAAAAACAACTTTATTTTATGTTTAAAATGAGTTATATATTAATTAATTCTTATAGTTGCTAAAATATAAAGGAAGAAAAAAAATTAATTCTTATAGTTGCTAAAATAATAAATGAAGAGAAATATAAAGCAATCTTTTCTATTATCTGTTTTTTAATTAATAGTTTTTTTTAACTAATTTATTCTAACAAGGCTGCAGGCAACCACTTTTTATGTTGGGACTTTATAGTAGTTTATTAAAAAATTAATCAAAGTTGGGTTATATAAAAATGTTGTTTTATTAATTTTTAAGCTTTATTTTTGAGTTAATTTCACACTAAAGTCTTTTAAGTACATTTATAGTTTTCTGCATCAAAAAAGCATACATGATTGTTTTCATATTTTGCACTTAGTTGAATACCAGGTCATATTAGATCGTTATTAAAATAGAAGTATCTCAGGAACTGTATTTTTTAAGTTATAGCCGAAGAAGTTTAAAAAAAATATGAGGACCCATAATTCCAATTTTCATAAATTTTCAAACTGGAACTCATGCAATTGTTGTCAACAAACATGTTTGGTCAAGGTCATTAAAAAAGATTAAAATGTTTGACTTAATTTTATCCATTCCACCCAATTGCAAATTGATCACCCATTAAAGTGGATCCCCTCTAGCAAGGAGCTAGAGAGGATCATAGTGTTAACACAAAAAAATAAAATAAAAAGATGTTAATTGGATTCACTAAGTATGTTATACTTTCTAGATGTAGCAGTATCACGATTGGATTCACTAAGTATGCTTTAATTTCTAGATGTAATACTATCACAATTTGTACCAGTTGTAACTGTTTAACTTAAAATTGTAATGACAAATAAATCTTTATTTTTATAGCTAACAATAATAAATTCCATTCCTGTTATGTTTATTGTTTACTGTTTATTTTTTATTGTTTAACATTTATGACTTATCTAGATATGGAATATCTAAATTGACTATTGATTTTGTAGGTGATTTTAGGGAAATTAATTACCAAAGTGACACTTTTATATATTTTCAGCCTTTAATAAATTTATTAAAAACAATCCTTTGAAAATGGCCATTGCTCTGAAAGTATTCACTACTCTTAATATTTGGTTAGTAAGTACGCTTACAATGGAACTAGAACGAGTTTAAAAAAAACTTATTAAAAGTTATCATTTTAACTCACTTGAGGCTTTTTTTCTGTAAACAATACCTTATGACATATTTGTTTTTGGTTATTGTATCTGCAGGGTCATTCCATATGAAATCATTCAGACCATGACACCCTTACATCTCAGGTTTTTTTTAATTTTACCTCACTTGCAATCCATATATAAAAAATAATAATTGCAAAAATTTTAGTTAAAAATACACATGGGTTCCAGAGATATTGTCATTTAAAATAATGCTGAATCAGCATTTTAGTGATTATCTGAAGCAACTACATAGCAACTTTGACATATAGTATCTTCATAATGGCTCGGGGAAATTTCCTAAAATTTAGTACCCCAATAGATTTTTATTTACGGAATCCAAAAAGAGTACCCTCAAGACTCGATTATCTCAGAAAATGCCTTGTTTATCCAGTTTTGTTCAAAATTATTGACTTGTAAATTCATGATATTTGGAGGTAAAATGAAGACTTTGGCCCAAAATCCTGAATAAAAAGTTCAATTGCATATCATTATTTTTATCATAGGTCTACTGAATAAAATTAGATTCATCAATTGTCTCTCTAATACTTGATCAAAATTTGCATTTAAAAGTTTTTAAGTATTTTAGTATTTTATTAACTTTCATCTTATTGGAGATTCATGTCTAAATAATAGCGTCTAAATTAAATTCTCCTCAACTTTGAAAATCTCTGAAACTGTCTAAAAAATGCCAAAATGAAGTTAACTCAAGTTTTTTTTCTATTCATTTACAAGTCTTTACAGGTAAGTTTTCTGATTAATTACTTTTGTCTGCAATAAATTGGCAAGACATAAGTAACTTATTGCAAAGTCTCAAATATATCTAAAAATATTTTGCCAGTTTTCCTTAAAACTTCATTTAAACATAATATTGTTTTTAAAAACATAACACCAAAAGTTTAAAAAGTTTATTTTATCTGTTTTTATCCCAACACTTTTACAGCATAAAAATATGTTTTTCATTTCAAATTAAATAAATCTTGTTGTTACATTAAATTGGTTATACTGTTTTGGGTACTTCATCATCAAATCATTTATTCCATAGAATTGTGTCTTCCTTTTTGTTTCATATTTTGATACATGATTGCTATTTGTTAAAAAAAACATTGCACGCAAAATTGAAAATTTTAGCTAATGTTTAGCAGTTATCAAGATATGGCAATTTTTATATTGGCCTGATTTTCTAAAACGACCCAGTTTTTATGACATTTTGAAAAAACAATCAGTCTAATAAAATAAAAAATATAAAATAACAAAAAAATTAAAATAAATATAATACTTTTTTGATGCAGTATTCAAAAAATGTACTTGTAATGCTAAAATAAGAAAGTAAATGCTTTTAAATTATTAAAACAACAAGTTTATATAACCCAATTTTTGGGCCGTCAAAAAAAATATTTTTGCTTATAATAATTTTAGTTACTTAGATGCTTACATGTCAACAAAGATCTGGAAAACAACAACAACATGTAGAACTATAATTTATTATTGTGTTGTTTGTATCTGTACTGTATCTGTACAGATACGATTTTTGACATAAGTCAAATCTTTTTATTTGCTTTTCATATTTATCGACATTAACTGCACCAATTTATTTAATTACCGCAAAACTACTTTAAATCATTAATGCAGAAATGTTATTATTTAAAAATGTTTTGAAATGTTTCGTTTTTTAAAATATAAAAATATTTGTTTATTTTCTTGACGTTTGAAATTGTTATTATTTATTTATAATAATATTTAGGTAATTTTTTTTGTTACTTTTTATAAAATTTTTAATAACTGTACTTTTTTTATTGAATCAAGTAGAATACGTTTTAATATTAATCCTTTTATTTTTTTTTATTTGCGCTTACCAATTTTTAAAATGTTTCTTTGAAATTACTCTTTAATACTTTAAATACGTCTAACAGTTAATAAATATTTTTAAATCTATGGAATAATTTTATAACCTAACAAACTACCGTAAAATAATTATTTAAGTTAAAAATCTAAAACTAAAAAGAAAGTATTTTTGTTTAATTTTATCGACTATTTTGCTATTGCTGAATAATTTAATTAAAATGTTAGCTTAAGAAGATTTAAACTTTTTTTTTAATTTGAATTTTTTC